CACACACACACACACACACACACACACACACACACACACACACACACTAGTCAACTCTTCATTTGGACTGTTTATTTGTGTAAAATATGCAGGAAAATAAAATGCTTCTGCTTTTACTGATTTTAAACATGCCAAAATTATATTTTGTTACTATTATTATTTTTAGTTTTCTTTCTCCATTCTAAATTCATATGTTCAAGCGAAACATTAATTCATTTATAGTCGTATTTGAATTCAAACTGATAAAAGTGAAAAAAAGAAAAACAACAGTAAATATGGCTGCAGCTACTGCATCTTCCCATGCAAAAACAAATCTTTGACTTTTCTTATACAAAGTCAGACTTCAGGAGGTAATCCAGTTTAGTTTTACAACTTGGAACTCAGAAATTCCCACTTCGGTGTACAAATGGAAAGCATCCATGAGATTTAATTCTGACCAGATTGATGAGCTAGAAGGCTAGTCTGAATGGGGCCAAATCAAAAGTGGATCGCTACCAGCCTAAAATATTTACAAATTTTTGAGAATTTTACTGTAGTTTATGCAAATGCTACCAATTATTGCTCATTTTTATTTTTAAACTGAAGTTGTTCAGAGTTATCTGCAACAGGTAGGATATTCACAACTTTTTCACAAAACTTCTCATCAGAGGAACATCTGAAACATCCTTTTAAATGGATTCGGGACAGATTTGAGTTGTGGCATTTGTGTCACACGTGACGTCAAACCTGTCTGTAATCTTCCACCGTTTGATCAGACTTCATGGCTCCTAAAATAAAACCACACCTGCAGCTGTCCTTGATTCGAGATGCTAATCGTGCCACTCTGCCTCCTGCGCAGCTTCACCTAGAATTTGCAGTTTCTTGCTTTATTTGTATTTATTTATTTATTTATTTATTTATTTATTTATTTTGCTTTCTTTAAGCCAAGTCAACTTCAGAAGCATCATCTTGACCCATTTGGCTCCACTCAGCCATAGAGCAGCGAGAGTTATTTAAATAAGCTTTGACTCACGAAGGCTTGGCCTTCCCTGGAGCCTGAATCAGACAGAAGCAGCACGCAGACCCATGTCCAGCCTGTTATCATCCTCCAAATCCTTAATCGGGCTGTCTGTAGAGGACAGTGGCACCTCCACTGTCTTCTGGGCCAAGCATTCGTTTAGTGCTGCCTAACAATATCCAATCAACCTCCACCCCCGCGAGGTGATGGAGCCAGGATCATCTGCCAGTTTCTCCTGAGTGACCCTTTTTATCTCCTCTTTCCTCTGACACGTTTTCATGTCCATGGATGTGAGAGGGCTCTTGTGTTTGGTGAGATATTTAAAACTCCGGCTCTTTGCCTCTCCACGTTCAGCCAGCCGTTCCCTCCCAGCCTAATTTCACGCACTTCAGTTCAGTTCAGTTGTTCTTTGTTTAAACGCTGCAGCATCTGAAAAAAATTTTTGAATTTGCCAGGATTTTTCCGCGTTTTCAGAAGGTCCTCCTGTGCTACATGTGCATGTTTGTGATGAAACATGCATTTGTGTCAAAAATCTCAATGTTAAAACTAAGATATTAATTAAAGTCCAATCATTAATGCCAGATCTTTAAATGGAAATTCTCACATGATTAAAAGGGATGACGTCAAATTTTGTAAGTGACAACCTTATGTAAAATCAATGATGTGTTGTACTCATGGTAATGACTTTCAGCTACTATCACACCAAAATTTAGCTCAATATCTATGAAATTGACTGAGCTGTAGCTATATTTGCGTAGCTGTGGTGGCCATCTTGAATCAGGCTGACTCCAAAAGTTAGAGATCCCTTTTAGAGGTGTGTGCAGTAATTCTTTTCTGAGAGTTTGATTCAAATCTGTCCAGTTATTCACAAGATATTTTGAGGTGATGGGAACTTCAGCTCTTTTCAAAGAGCTGAATTTGTGGAACAGCTTCCAAAGAAGAGCTGGCTCTTTCAGCTTCCAAACGGCTCTTAACTTATTATCATCTGTAGCCTCATGTTTTAGCTGAACTTGGCAAATGTGAGTGCTTTGTGTTAATAAATTGATTGATTTGATTTATTTATTTAACAGGAAAAGATTATTAAAAATCAAGCCTGACTCAGCATAATTGCTGTTTTACAGCAGGTTCCTGTTCTGCAGCACATAAACACTCAGAATTACAGCATCACAATCACATCATTATCCACCATAGACACAAAGACAAACAAGCATACCAAATTTCAAAAAGGCAGCATTTGCAAAATAGGACGTCTAAATATGAGCACAACAAAAAGTGTCCAGCAGATGGCAGACAAGATTCTTCTTAAAGGGCTGTAGTTTTGAAATGGACTATGTTTTGAGGAGAATGTCATTCCATGCTTTAGTATAAACATAGAAGAAAGACCGCTGAAATCCTTTCACATTTAATGTTTTAATGAGAAGTCTTATTAAAACAGACTCATTTTGAATATTTGTTTTGTTACAAAAGCAGACATTCTTACTTTTATCAACATTAACGTTTGAATCAAACTTTTCAGTTTTTATTTAATGGATCAATCATATTAGGTCCTGGGCATGGACATAACTGTCCCCCTCTCTGTTTTCATATAATGGTTTGATTATATACATCAGGGTGGGCAATGCTGGTCTTATTTGACACACCATAGTGTGTCACAGTGCTGATGTAATATGATGTTTCTGTTTTTTCCTCATTTTCCCTTGTGTGGTTTTTAGTTTTTCTGTTGTTGTTTTTAAGGTAGCGCAACTGTGTTTGCTGCATGACCTGTCTTAACTGCCCCCTCCCCCGTTCCCTGAATGTACAGCACCTTGTGAATTTTTTTCTGTGAAAGGCTCTATATAAATAAAACTTTACTTACTTACTTACTTACTCCCTTCTATCTGGCATGTTTTACTTTATCAACACACCTGATTCAGTGATTAAATTACAGTACCTGTTCAAGTTCTGCAGAAGTGGATTAATCAACTATTCATTCAAATCAGGAGTGTGGAAAAGACAAAAAAGTGAAACATGCAGGATAACAGTCCTCAAGGACTACAGTACATTTGCCCACTCGTGTCCTATGTTTATCCTCACATGTGATTGGTCACAGGGCCAGCGAAAGGAAAATAAAATTGAGCAGCCGACTCTCACTTGATGGGAGGTGGTTCTTCAGATTTGTTACCAAGCATTGTCCCTTAGAGCCGACACACCACTAATACTTGACTGTGTTGACTCTACAAGTTAAAGGCAAATTTTTAAGCAAATATGTTGTGCAATCTGTAGCGCTCAGAGTGTGTGTTGGGAATCACTCTCAGCTACTACCATGCCAAATTTTTGCTCAATGGCAGTTAAATTCACTGACTTTTAGTTATTTTTGTGCAGGCTCATGTCAGTTAGCTGTGGTGGCCATCTTGAAGTGTGGTAACCCCAAAAGGTAAACGTGCACACATTAAAAAAATAATAATAATATAAATAAATAAATAAATAAATAAATAAATAAATAAATAAATAAATAAATAAATAAATATAAGCAATCATCTATATGTGTTTGGTGGAGTAAAAAAGAAGCATTTGGTGGAATAATTGTCTCTAACAGTGTAATGTTTTATTAGTCTGCATCATTTTTATTTGAGAAACTCAACTGCTCAAGTGTGCTACAGAGACGTTATTTACTGAGATCAATGAGGCAGTAAATTCTGGTTTAGTGGACTTCCTGAAATGATTGTAGAGTTTGTAATATAGAAAAAAAAATTAGCTTGTTATATGTTCCCAGTCAAAAAGAGCCTCCGGTTGTTTTTTTAAGACGAGAATACTGAATAATTAATCTTCTCCTCCAAATAAAACACACATTATGTAGAAAGAAAGTAAGGATTTAAGTCCAGCTTGAAATAAACGAGAAAAAAAGTAGATAATTTTACGAAAACAGCCTCTGCATTGTTGAGGCGAGAATATGAATCAGGTTTCATTAAATCACTTCCATGTAAACGACAATCTGACTCGCATCCAGTCACATTAAGAAACAAACGCATCCTGTCAGTCGTTTTTTTTATTTTTATTTTCTTAATACTTACATAACAGAGCGAGGACACAAAAAAAGGGATGATTCCACCAATAGTTTCAGTTTTTCTCCTGTCAGACGTTGCTGTAAACAACCAGACACGTATTCCATGTGTAATGTTTACACCAGTGGAGTTGACCTACTAAACTGCAGCAGAGCGCCTCGCTACAAATATGTAGGATTCCATTTTCAAAAAGACTCCCTGTGAAATGCCTCCTGTCAGCTTTAGTACAGATCTTAAAAGAAGGTTCCTTCTGGAAGTTAACTTGATACAAGCAATAACTTTTGATCAAATTAAATCAAATCATTTCTAACAGACGACTTAATTAGTTACTCAGTCTGATGAAACTCCTTAAAGGAATACAGTAAAATAGGGGTGTCCCAGTACTGATACTGAGAACTTCACAGTTATTTTATTTCCTTGTGTGTTTATAAAAATTATATATATTATCAATGTATAATAAAGAGACAGCATTATGATTGACAGGTTCTTCCTCATGTCTGTTTAGGAGCAGAGTTTGGAGGGTCCTCCTCCACTCTGTCTGTCCCAGGAGGTTAAAGAGGCGACCCCCGAAAACCCCACCGCCACCGACGAACTGGACACGCCCACTTCCACCGCCTCTGTGATGACCTCGACCAACGAGAGCTCCACGGAGGCCGACACCCCGCAGCAGACAGACTCTGAGGTTTCAACCTTTAACTTCGATTTTACTGATGGAGGTTTTGACCGTTCCAGTTAAAAGCGGAAACGTCGCTGTGTTTTTCATGTTGAAATGAGGGGGAAAAAAAACATGTTTTCTTTTAGGAGTTCAAATCAAAGTCAATTTACCACACCAGAAAATTAAATTTCCTCCAATTTATTCTGCTTCCAAACAGAGGCTGGACCTCAACTTGTTTCATCAGAGTCCAATCTAAACTCATTCACTTACTTCTTTGGCTGGAAAAAAAAAAGAATGCATAATTTATTAGAGGCTCATAAAACTGGGGATGCGATGAAATGACAATGATTAATAGTTTTTATGAGAGAAGGGATGAAGCATGCAGTTTAAATAAAACACTGACCGCACTGTGCACGTCTCCCAAAACATGTTGACTCGATTCCAAGATTGGAACCAAACACTTTTATTTTTTTACCCAGAATGCCAATAAAATGATTTTGTAGCTTTTAAGGAGAGATGAGAACCCTGCAGAACACTGTGTCAAACTCATTTTAACAGAGGGCTACATGAGCGTTATGGTGGTCCTCAAACGGCCAGCTGTAATTAACTTTGACGTTTGATGTTTGACTTGAACTAAATACGAAATGTCACGTTCCCACGGCTGAGCACTGCTAATAAATAATAACTGTGCTCTATGTGGTATTTCCTGCATAGAAAAAGTGTTTTAACACATCCTCAAATAAACATTGAAAAGTATGACTGACTAAACGTGACATAAATAATATAGAAATGCTGTTAAAAGTAAACCTATAGAGTTTCATTCTGTTAAGTTGTGGTGAGTAGCTGCCAACAGGGAATTCCCATCAGAGGGGTGTTCCAATTTAATTTACGACTTATAAGTGGGAAATTCCTACTTAAAAGTACAAATGGGCTATAGCCAGTGAAAATGCAACTAAAATTTTGAAGTGCTACTTGTACAATGGCAGTAAAAGGAATTTGAATTCGAATTCGAAACTAAATGTAAATTTCAGAGGTGAATTTTGATGGCTGCTGGCTACTTTTGACTCATTAGCTGGATGGAAATCACCCGTGGGCCTTGAGTTTGACACATGTGACTTTGAGGAATTAGAAATTAAAGCAATTCTGTGTTTTATGCTCCTTGCAGGAGTCCAAGACAGTGGAGCAGGAGTGCGCGAAGTTTCCGGGTGAGACTAAAGAAGCCTCAGAGGTGCAGCAGGAGAACCCCATCACCTCAGACCCGCCTGATCTGACGTCAGCCCAGGAGGTTCAAGATAGCCCCCCCACTGAACAGCTGATTCCTGAAACAACGAGCATCGAGTCTTCTGAGTCTGTCACGCTGACCACAACCACCACCACCACCATCCCACAACCTCAGCTGGTGCTGCAGCCTGGAGAACCTCACCCTGTGAACCCCAGCAGCCAGAGCAGAGTCTACACCCTCCCTGACGCCTACAGAGGCAACAGCGGAGACATCTGCCCCGGATACGGGAGCCTTTCTCGCTTCAGCCTCCATGGCTACCTGCCCACCAAGAACTTCCAGCCCGGGGTCCACTACACCTTACCATTCCTCAGGGACAGCTACGCCCCCGCGGGCCTCAGCAGTCAGACAGACGAGGACAGTAAAAACCCTCTGGACATGAAGGCCGAACACCCAGCTGCCAGTTACCCGACACTCGGGGGAATCCACCAGTTCAGACCAATTACCACCATGGAGCTCCTCAGGGAGCCTTCAAGAACCAGGTAGGAGGACTTGACATGAAACGCTATTGATCCTGCATGGAGGAAGGAGTTCCTAAGACTTTGTTGGTTCCTTAGAGAATAACTGTGGGGTCAGACAGAGTTGAAACTCTTTCAAAGGGAATGTAATGTATTCATGTCTGTAATTTGTTTCTCAGTTTAAAAAAAGGTGGATTGTTGCATTTTCGGCTGCGAAAAATCCAGTCCTCTGCAACTGATTCCAACAAATTTACATTTTAGCTAGGCTTTATATGTTTCAATATTGAAATGTAATCATCATGCAGGAAAAACAGCAAGAAAGGCTTTAAAACTTTAAGAAGATAAATGTATTTACACTGATAGATTATTTATTTGAATATATACAGTATATGTTTCCACTGAAATCCACCCAGTAGAGATGTTTGGCTAACAGACAAACAAGGTTGACACCATTAGTTATTGCCAGTGGTTTAAATAATGATGTCGCACAATGTATTGCGCTCACAGTATAATGCTCAGCTACTACCACAATGAAGTTAAGCTCAAAATCTGTCAAGTTGATCGAGTTTTAGAGATTTTTGGGTTTGCTAAAATTGTATTACTGTGGCTATCTTGAATCAAGTTGACTCCTGAAACTAATGAGTTCTAGATTTCAGTCTAATATTTATTTTCTGAGAGTTAACATATAAATCTGTCTTGTGATCATGAGATGTTTTGGTAATAGTACAGACAGACAAACACAGAGCAAAAACATTACTTTGCTTTTGCTTTTTGCAGCCAAATCCCTCTAGCAAATTGTATATTTATATTATATTGATGCTTATTCTAATTAATTCCTAAAATGAACATATTTTAATGCCCTTTCTGTGTAATCCTGTTTATTTACATCCTGAAAAAACCATATACATGAGCAAATGAGGACATTCCTAAAAATGAAAAATAATTTTAAAAAAAGGAGAAAGTCTTATGAGATGCTTTGTCCCACTACTGTAACAGTCCAAAACCAACATTTTTTCTAATTTTATCCCAGAGGAACCTTTTTTGATAACAACATGAATCAAGCACGGTATAGCTGCACAGATATCCCGAGGACAGCCCGGCGCTGCTGCGATGACTCAGAGTGGCTAATAAGACAGACGGACAGCAGTTAGGCTGCAACTGATATCAATCAGAGATGGCAGCCGGCTGCAAAGTTGATAAATAAGGAGGTTTCGAGTGTTATTGCCTGCCAGAAGGTTTCGCCTTGGCTCATTCGGAGTGATAGAACTGTTTACAAAAGGCCACAGTGAGAAATTCCTCTCAGCATGTTTTATTCAACATGTTAAACCTTCACACTTCTTGTTGCCAACTAAAGAACAAGACTACGAAGGTATTTGTCTTTGTCTGGACCTTTGCAAAACAAAAATGACTTAAACATAAACATTTCTGCAAAAACAGCATGTAAACAAATACAAGCATATTCGTTTTTGTTGAAAAGCTTTTAAAAATCTTTTAATTTGTGATTAAGTATTAAACTAGCAAAATTCTGTAGACAAAAATGTATTTAGTTTTAATATTCGAGCTCTGAAACTTGATGTTTGAAATGTGACCCTGACAACTACTTTGAAAGCACAAAAACATCTGAATTAAATCTCAACAAAAGGGTTGTATTTAAAAAAAACTGCTTGTTGGTTTATTTATTATAGTATATATTTATTTAGTTAAATAACTTGTAAAGTTGTCAAAGAATTTTTTTAAACTAGAGACATTTAGCGTAAAAAAATGCAAAGATTTTTACAAGTATTAAATATAATACCAAATATTGTCAATTTTATTTAATAATGCATGCATACATGCATCTCAGCTTTGCAACACATTCTAGTGAAGACATGGTGATAATAATGTTGCTCCAAATGACTGGCTGTCATCATGATTTGATATGAAAGCAGAATTCACGAACGCCTACCCAAATATGGGCAGAGGAACTCCAATTTTTCAAGTAAAAAAAATGGTCAAATTGTGAAATGTGATCCAATGAACCCTCTGCTATTTGCTCTAAACCAAGGACAAAAAGTCACAGATCTTTAGCAGCAACAAGTTTAAAGACTGTGATGGTGTTGGATTGTACAGGGTGAGTCAAAAGTCACAGGACACCTTTTCAGTTCAGAACATGTCCGCCATCTTGAAAGCTGCCATATGAGATCAAGGGCAAGTTTTGAACTAGAGCTTTCGTCAATTCCATCTTCAGTGACCTGTGACGAACAACAAAAGTTTTGAACTTTCTGTGTTGATAGCGTCTGAACCACTAAAGATATTGCTTATCTGATTGTAACAATCCATTTCTGAAACAATTCTGAACTGTGATATGCTTTATGACCCCCTTCCCTTTGGAAAAATCTGACTTTGATCCAAGTTTGCAAGTTTCAAGATGGCAGCCATATTCTGTACAAAGCCTAAAGGCCCCCTCACCCATTTCTTGCTAATGTATTCAGATATTTAATTTTCCCCTCTTGTTTCAGGAATTAAAGTGTGTCCTGACACTTTTGACTCACCCTGTATAATTGCTCCTTGTAAAGGCCTGTCTTCATCTTTTTGACAAATTGACAAGCCTTCATAAGGCCATAATGAAAAGTTTTTATAAGTTGTAGTCAAATTGTCTGCTGGCATGTTCTTTTGGAGATGGTTGTGAACACTCTGACAGCTCATAAAATCTTTAACTTCCCTTTTATTAAATATTGGTAGTTTTTTTTTTGGTAATAGGGACTTTGAACACTCAGAAAGAAGAGATTTATGAGGAAATCTACTGAAATCAAGTCTCCATTTGAGAATACTTCCATTGCCAATCAAAGCTGACCGCATAGCTGCTTTTTACAAGCTTGAAATGTAAAAATAACTAACCTAATATTTTAAATGAAGTTATGGTGATAAAACATATTAAGATGTGCAAGAATTACCACAATTTTTGATTTACATTTCCCACCATTTGCTTTTTCAGTTGGTTGCACAATGTTTTCCTCTTAAATGAAAAGTTAAAATATAAAATAACACTGCAAGCTTGTATAAAGTAAAAAAATAGTGATAACCTGTTTGTTCAGCTTTAAGAAAGTTGAATGGAACGGTGCTTTTCAGAGGAGTTTACCAAGGTTGCCAGTCGAGGCTTTCAATAGACGATCGTTCCTTACCAAGAAATGTTCAGCTATCTTTGTAAAATCACAAGTTCATAGTCAATAAATCTAAAGTTTCTATCTTCTTCCCAAATGGAAAGACATTCAGACAGGCAGTCAATATAATAGTCTACGTTTCTCTACAGGCAAGCAAAAGTTTTGTTCTTTTCCTTAACATCCAACAATCTGTGTCTCTCTCCAGAAGTGGCTATGATGACGCTTTCATGGCCCAGTTGGAAGGAAACCTGAATCCTTTCTTTCAGGCCATGTGCCGAGCTCAGACCCTGCAGATCCCTCACAAACGCAGCAGCATGGTGAGCCTGGACAGCATCCGGAGAGACCCCCGCTGGAGAGACCCCAACCTGCACGAGGTGATCGCCATGCTCAGGCACCCGATGGACCCCGTCAAGTCCAACGCCGCTGCCTACTTGCAGCACCTGTGTTACGAGAACGACCTGATCAAGCAGGAGGTCCGCCAGCTGAACGGCGTGCCCGTCTTGGTGGAACTCTTGGACCACCCCAAGGCCGAGGTCCATCGCAAGGCCTGCGGTGCGTTGCGGAACATTTCGTACGGAAAAGATCACAACAACAAAATGGCCATCAAGAGCTGCGATGGCATCCAAGCTTTAGTTAGACTACTAAGGAAGTCCAGCAGCGTGGAGGTCAAAGAGTTAGCCACAGGTGCGGATGACTGTTTTAGCCTCAGGGTGATAATCAACAGCGTTTCAAGCTGCTTTTACAACTTCTTTTCTGTACACACCGCAGGCACTCTGTGGAACCTCTCATCACACGAGCCTCTCAAGATGACAATCATCAACCAGGGACTTCAAACCCTGACTGACGAAATCATCATCCCACACTCAGGCTGGAGGAGGAGAGACTCTGCCGACCCATCGAAACCACAGAGTGCTGAGTGGACCACCGTCTTTAAGAACACTTCAGGATGCCTGAGGTAACCTTGGCTGCTGCCATGAGGTGGTAAATGGTAACAAAAAAAAAACCTGCTTGTGTTTGCACAGCTGTGTGTTTTTTTGTTTTCTGCAGGAACGTCAGCTCAGACGGAGCAGAGGCTCGACAGAGACTGAGGGAGTGTGAGGGCTTGGTGGCCGCTCTCCTTCACGCCCTGCAGTCAGCAGTCGTCAACAAGGACACAGACAATAAGGTTGCCAAAGTCATCACTTCGATCTTAATCAGAGCTACATCTGCAGTAGAGTTTTCAGTTTTTAGTTCAAAATCTTTTTGAATTTCTCACAGACAGAACTCCTTTGAGAGTGTTCTGATTTGAAATTAAAGTTAGGTTAACAGCTTTATCTGTTTACAAGTGATGCAGACGGCCAGTGCTGGGCGTAAAAGCGATAAAAGTATCAATAGTCTTCTTCAAAGTCAGAGATATCGTCAGAGTTTCAGTTTTTTGCTCAGAGAAATCAATAGACCTACCTTTTTAATAGAAGGGGAACTGGGGACTTGATCAATGCGATGTGACATTCTGTATAACATCTTCATTACGAATTCTCTGTCACTGCTCTTAGTCGGTGGAAAACTGTGTGTGCATCCTTCGAAACCTGTCTTATCACGTCCACAAAGAAATACCAGGAGCTGAGCGGTTTCAGGAGCCTCACACTGGTCATCTGATAAGATCTGTGGGACATCAGAAGAAGAAGAATGAGGCCGAGTGTTGTTCAGGGAAAAGACCCAAAGGTTTGTAAACTATATGATTGAATTTTATCGTCTGTAATGCTTCTAAAAAAATCAATCTCAGTGGTAAAATTGAACGAGGGAAACTCTGTTTTTCTGTGATGTATTAATGTTAAATGATGCATGACTGTTAATCTTTGGTAAAAATCAAACAAGCTGAACAACAGCTAAAATCAACACAGCAGCAGCTAAAATCAGCAGACCTACAGCTAAAAGCTAAAATTAGCATACCACATTTCAAAGCTAAACTGAGAAAAACAATAGCGAACAGCTCAATTTAACATTGCAATAGCTAAAGGCTAAAATTGACAAACACATAGCTACAAGCTCAAAAAACAAAACCTTGCTGAAAGAAAAAAATTACAAAACAGAAACTAAATGCTAAAATTTGCAAGACAGTATCTAAAATCTAAAATCAGCCAAACCTTAATAAAATGCTAAAATAAAAAACTGCTGCTAACAGCTAGAATTAGCAAAGCAGCAATAGTTAAAGGCTAAAATGAACAAAAGCATAAAGAAACATAGCTAAAAGCTTAAATTAACCAGCTATTAACTAACAACTTAAATTAGCTAAGCCATAGAGTTAAAACTAGCAAAACAGTAGCTTAATACTAAAAATAGCAAAACCATTGCTAAAAGCTAAAATAAAAATAAAAACATTAGCTAAAAGCTCAAATGAGCAAAAATATTGCAAAAAGCTAAATTAGCAAAACATTACTTAAATGCTAAAAGTAGCTAAAGCTTTGCTGAAAGATAAAACTAACAAACCATTATTTAAAACTTTAAATTAGCTGAACCATAGCTACAATTAAAATGATCTAAACCGTAGCCTAATGTTAAAGCTTTGAGTACCCAACATGTAGACATTTTCTGTATTTCCAGGATTTATTTTAAACTAAACTATAATGTTTAAGTAACTCAACTAAGTAATGTTTCCAGTTAAAACAGATCATGTTACAGTAAATCAGAGCTAATCTGAGAACAAAACAGCAGTATTAGACAAATTCACTGAAAGTCCTTCAGGTGTCTGTTCATGGTGATTTAATTTATTTATCAATATTTAACCAGGCAAGTCCCATTGAGATCTCAGATCTCTTTTTCAAGGGAGGCCTGGGCCTGAAGGCAACCTATTGTACATATTTTTAGGGGTGATGGAAACCGGAGTACCCAGAGAAAACCCACACAAGCACGAGGAGAACATGCAAACTCCACACAAAAAGACCCCAGGTCTGAACCGGGGATCGAACCCAGGACCTTCTTGCTGTGAGGTGTCGGTGCTAACCACTGAGCAGTCATGCCGCCAAAGTTTAAAATTTAAAGTTCCTCAGGGAAGCTGGAGAACAAAGCTGAATAGGTCCTCGATACAATCAGTCGCTCAGAGTGTTGCCACATGGAGGAGCTCTGCCTGTGTCCTGTGTCTCTCTCTGTCTGTTTTGCAGCAGCATCTAATCTCTGCCGTTGTTCTCTCTTCTTCCCTCTTAAAAACTGCATTCATAAGAAGAGTGGTTCAGTCAAGGTCAGTCCGCTTGTTACGCCTGAATGTTTTCAAAGCAGTAATAATGTGATTCTACACCACAATGAATTTGCTGATGCTGTGTATATCTGTGGACTGATAAATTGAAAACTGGTGTTTTGTGTGCATGTTGTGTATCTGTGGTGTACAGGTTGGAAAAAGGGATTTATGGACAGAAAATACAGTACATTGGATTTGCCAAAATGTACAGAACTAATAAAAGGTATATGCTTAAGAAAAGTAAACAATTACCTTAACACTCCATTTAAAAATTCAGAAACGCCGGCTTTATGTTAAGTTTTTACTAATAGATGTAATATAATCATCCTACATTATTATGTTTTCTAACCCAGCCATCCATTTTCTTTATTTATGCTTCTTTTTTTTTTTTGGTTCTGGTTCCTATCTCTAGGAGTCAGTGTGTAAGAGGCGGGGTCACAAGTTCATCACAGGGCCACAGAAAGACAAACAACCACTCACACCTAGGGACAATTTAGAGTTACCAAATAACACAAAGTGCTTGTTTTTAATCTGTGGGAGGAAATTGGAGTACCCAGAGAAAACCCACGCATGCATGGGGAGAATATGCACACTTCACACAGAAAGGCCCCAAGGCCAGGAGACAATGGTGCAACCTTCTCCTTGAGAGGAGACACCTCTAACCACTGAGCTGCCTTGCCGCCATGTTTTCTAATCATGGTGCTGTAATATAAAGAGTCAGGGCAGTACCTGCTCTCTGAGCTGGGATGTTTACAGCATGAGCGTGACATTGGTGAAATCATTTAAATGCAACGCCACACACCAGCAACTGCACCGCTTGTGGACAATTTGATTTCTAAAGTCAAATGGCCCCAACATCTGATCCCATATTATCTGGAGAATAACAGAAAAATATAAAGCCATCAATTTTTTGCTCCAAACACTTGATTCACTCCACACGTGTCTCCATTTGGTTCCGCTACACCGCTTTTACATTATGTCTAGTTTTCTAATATTTTTTGCTGCCATGGTGTGAATAAAGGAACTAAAGTGGGAGAGAAAAAAAAGGAGAAATATGAAGCTTCTGCTGCAGGCATGCGGCTCAGACTACCATTAGCATCGAGATCAGAGCTTAGCTAATGCCTCCCACGCTGCAGCCAGTGAATGCAAATCAGAATGACAATCATGTTACGGTTCAGGGTCAGCCTGATACTGTAGTACTTGTAAGTTTTCTCCACTGGATCAATGCAAAAATGAAAAAAAAAATTGCAGAAATTGTAATGCTTATCCATCGCAGTTTTAGTTCAGTATAAATTCTCTGTTTATATTTAGCTACTAACCTACTAACATAAACTGACCCAAATAGAGAAAACTCCGAGCATACATTTAAACAAAATTAATACAAGTGTTTGGAAATGTAATGGTAAATAACCGTGTGATTTCTTCATTTCTGCTCAAGGTCTGGAGCTGCTGTACCAACCAGAGGTGGTGAGGCTTTACCTCTCTCTTCTCACCTGCAGTCACAACCACAACACCCTAGAGGCAGCTGCAGGAGCACTGCAGAACCTCGCTGCGGGACACTGGGCTGTGAGTAAACAGAAAGTTCAAAGTTATTCATCAAACTCATAATTACATAGGTTGGAAGTAGTAGGCACTGGACTTCAAATCTAATCACACTTGTTTAAACATTGCATCGAAAGCAGGTTTTGTTTGGATGCACGGCTGAGAAAAGGAGCCCTTTATTTCAGGTGATGCACGGCTGCTGTCAGTTTGTAAAACGTCCTCACTGTTTGTGGAGCAGATCCACGACATGCATCCCGACAGCTTTGCCTCTGCCGTTCAGGCTTGAGGGGAGACTTAAAATAGATTTTGTGCTGGAACGAAGTTTTTTTTTTTCTAAGTGAATTCAGTGCGAATATGTCTGCAGAGTGCAGGGTCAAACAAGACAACTTCTCCCGGGGCTGGACTTGGAGGCGTGCCTGCTCGGGGGCTTTTCTTCTCAGCTGGTTGGTTTTGTTTCTGAGGCACTGTCATTAATCAACATAATGTAAATGTGCGCTGACCTTGTCCTAGAGCCTTCAAGAGCAAGAATAACTTTGGCTCTTTACGGAATTTCCCCCTGAGTGGGTCCATATGTCTTCTTAATAATGTGCTTAGTCAAACAATGAAATATCACTTCACAAGACACTGTACATGGATGTGTAGCTGGGTTCTTATTTCATTTATTTTTTGGATACATTCATGTGAGGATCTCTGAAAAATCAACGCTCTTATGGCCAACAGGCTGTTTTTGTGTTTCTGCTTGTAGTGGTCCAGCTACATCCGGGTTACGGTAAGAAAAGAGAAAGGGCTGCCGATTTTAGTGGAGCTGCTTCGCTCAGAGGTGGATAAAGTCGTGCGAGCGGTGGCCATCGCTCTTCGCAACCTGGCTATCGACAGAAGAAATAAAGACCTAATTGGTACAGACCTGTAATTCTCACCCATATATATATATAAAGCTCTCCGCCTGCACGCTCACAGTAACTCTGCCGTGTCTTTTTCCCCATCTGTCTGCTGTTTCAGGGAGCTACGCTCTGCGGGACCTAGTCGCCAATCTGCCTTGTGGACAGCAGCATCCTGTGAAGAATCTCGAGGGAGACACGGTGGTGTCCATTCTGAACACGATCTATGAGATCATCACGGATAACCCCGAGAACGCTCGGATGCTCATACAGGGTCACGCTGTGCAGAAACTGGTGGCCATCAATAAGTCAAGGTGCAGATTTTCTTAAAGAGAAAATAGCAACTCAGTCTACTGGGGCCTAGTGTTTCTTGAAGGAATACATATCACCTGCCACTTTCATGTTAGCTCACTGTGTCTTAAAGGGGACATATGCAAAATCTAATTTTATAGCTGTTAATGTTTGATTGTGTACTTGGAGTCTCAAGGAGGCAGAAAAGTTTAATTTAGTCTCTCCTGGTCCTGCAAAGATATTCTGTTTGGGTCAGATTTTTCAGCCCGTTCAGTTTTCTCTATTTTCTATGAAGTTTTCTGATCTATTGCGTCAAATTATGACAAATTTGCCATATACTGTCTGGACTTACCAATTATAATTTGTTGGTCTTTATTCTCTTCTGGCTCTGGGTTACTCTGGACAAGTCTTCCCTTGTTGACATATTTTAATGAAGTTGTAAATAAAACGTTTCTCACACTGCAAAATGCTAACACCCTCTCTCAAACCGGAGTGGACCAGTCTGGAAGCCGGTGGGGGGCGGGGCTTGAAGCGCCTTAAAGGAACAGTAACAAAATCAGCTACTTTGAGATACACCTCAGAAAAGTGGTGAAGGAGGAGTTGGTAAAGTTAGAATAAGGAGGAATTCAGACCAAAGCATTCCAGTTTCACTTTATAAGAACCCTAACTGAATGATTTGAATGTGAAAAAGAAGGATTGAAAAGCATGATATATCTACTTTAAAGGGGTCATATGCAAAATCCACTTTTTAGCCCTTAAATACATTTGATTGGAATCTCTAGGAGAGCAGTAAAGTCTAATTTATATTCTCACGATGCTGCATAGATATCTTTATATTCTGTTTGGGCCATATTTTTCGGTCTGTTTCGTTTTCCCCATATTTACTGGGAAACTGCTAAACAAGGTCACGGACTGCTGGCTTACCAGTGTCACCGTCTTCGTTCTCCTCTCACTCTGGGTCAGACTCTGGCTCCAACATGTAAGGCTGGAAGGACAAGTCTTCAATTTGGAAATAAAAAGTTCCTACATTGCTAGATAATCCTTCTCGCAAAAATTATTTATCCTCAGGTTATGTGCTTTGGATGACTCTCAGCTACTACCACATCTGGTTGTAGCTCAGTATCTTTAAAAAGGACTGTGTTACAGTCATGTTTGTGTTGACAAAGGTTGACTAACTGTAGAGGCCATCTTGAATTGGGTTTATTGGGTTTGATGAACATCCAGCGATTAATTTCTGAGTTTCTTTAGAATCTGTTGGTTGGTTTATGCGATATTTTGCTAACAGACAGACAAACAAATGTAGACAAAAATGATCGTCCACCTTCCATGGCGATAACAAACAGATCTCCAAACAATCCACTTGGCTAGATGTCTGCATACAAAAACAACTGTATGCTTTTATATGTAACATTGTTTCTGATGAACTAAACCTGAATGAATGAGTGCTGACAGTTTCAGAACAGCGTCTCGTGATATTATGAGCACCACATCTCAGGGCAGTCATTGATTTTAATTAATTAGACAGTAATGTCTTGAAGCTGCTTCATGTTGTTTGTCACATTATCGCAATGTTTTCTGGACAGCCAATCAGCACGCGAGACCAAGGCGGCTTCACACGTACTTCAGACAATATGGGCCTACAAGGAACTGAGGCACACTCTGAACAAGGCAGGCTGGAACAAGAGCCACTTTAAGGTACAGTATCTTTCTCCATTTCATGGGTATTTAAAAAGAGGAAAATGTAAGTTAGTCCCTACAGCATAAACAGTAACAGTAGAAAATCATTTGCATGGCTTGCGATATATGAAAAAAGTGTGTAACTGAACAGGGTCCAGTGTAAAATAATAAAAAAAACATTTTTTTCTTTTGCATTTCAAAGCCTACAATTTCAGGAGTGACTAAAAAGACCAAGAGTGGAAAACAGAACGGGGACGACATCACGTTGCCTCTCATGGAGAAAAACCAAGGTCAGAAAATTGTTCAAATTAAATTTGATTCAGTCATGATGAAAAATGTGTCCTTTAACTTCAAGGATGATCAGATGTTTTTAAGCATACTGATGTCCTTCATTTCACATTATGAACAGAGAGTTTAGTAAAAACAAAACTAAACTTAAATTAATAATGTATCCTGAAAACCAACAGTGAACAGGCTTAGAGCTTGACTTCTTTGCAAGGGGTGGCACAGGAGGGGCCAGCGTTGTTTTTAGAGGGGCACATACAAATAAAAAAAGGCAATCTGGATTTGAAAATTTATGATGGCTACCACAATTTATTTCAAACGGCTTTAATTCACTTGTTTTAAGAAATACTGAGCTGAAACTGTGTGTAATCCCAGCTAAGACTCATCCAAAAAAAACATTCTAATTGCTAGTCCCAACTCATAATTCATCCATCTTTAGACATACAAATCTGAAGATTAGTGTAGAAGTAGCCGAAAACAATCTTTACCAAAATTTAAATGCTAATCAAAAATTAACGTTGGCTACCACAGCAAACTTTAAATCACTACAATTCAGTCATTTTAAGATTTATCGCGATTAAATTAGTTGTGGAGTAGCTAAGAATGATCGCATGTCGATGCTAATTCCAAATTAAGCTAACTACTGATGCTAATTGAACAAAGGGCTATAATTCAGTAATATTTAAACACACACAGCTAAAAATATATTGCATAGTATGGTAGTATCAGAGAAAAATCTTTAACAAAATCTAAGAGCAAATACACAATCCAAGATCCCCACCCACTTGTTAGTTTTTTTGGAGTGGCACCCAGGGTGGCCAATCAGGTGCCAAAGGTGGCCCTGCCACCCTGGCCAACCCTCTGGCTCCTTCCCTGGGCTCATGCATCAGTTAGCTTCCCATTAAAACAAAACTTTACCACTCATCATGGTTACCAGGTTAACAAAATAGAAGTGTGTCATTTTGTACTTGTTCTGTGTTTCCAGCACACATGCTAGCACACAAAAGTCATCAAGGTCACAGTCATTTTAAATGTTTGAAAAGAAGGGAACTTTATTGTGAAAATGATTCTAATCTTGAAAGGCTTATTCCATTTTACCTAACTGTAAGGTACTCCCAGTAAATCCATACATTCAGCACATGTACGTGTGTGTAGTAAATAGTGCGCCAGCAGAATATTGCAAAAATGATCACACTAATAGGCTCTCAACCAATTCCTGTGAACCTGACCAGGCCCACGCCAGGGCCGCATGACCTACCCAGTATGAACAGGGTTCTTTTTTGTGTGTGCACGGAGGGTCAGGCTGTGAGTGTGCTCACTGAAGGTGTGCATTTCTGACTGAAATACTTTTTTATGCCTCTGTAAGAAAATTTAGTGTCCAATAACTGAAGTCGAGACGAAAACACATAAATGTTGAATAAATTGAAATGTGAAAGGAATGAGGAACATACAACACCAGTGACTGGATATGAACGGTGGTTTAATGCTGTCAATGCAAGCAGGAAACCAACGCTGACAAGAAGCAGGAAGTTCCAGCATGTACAGTATACACACATTCTTCAGTGCATGGTACTCCCACTACTGGCCTACGGCTGAATCGCAGACACAGAAACCTATCCTGATGTTTGATTAATGTTTTTTTATGTGTTGTGAAAATGTTTCGGGTATGTATCTAAACTATTTTAATCAAGACATAACAATAGTTAAACAATGGATTATAAAAGTCAATACTTAAAAAGGAAAACTAAGAAAATGGTGTAGTGCTTTTAAAATCTAACTAACCTGACTAATAAATTTTTTCACCTCCATTTATCAATGTGCTAAAAAGTCTAACAGAAATTCTCACAACCCCTCTGCAATTTTTTGAGATAGAACGTGGACCCGTTTTTGAAGACCTCTGCTTTAAAGACATTTTTGAGAAAGGGCTGTTTTAAAAGTCTCAAAAACATGCCAGCAGCCTAGCCTGGCTTGTTTCTTAATACTCTCTATGACTGATGTCACAGCTGATAAGGCACTAACTATTGAAAATGATTTGACAGAACATCACTTCAAAAATGACCTTTAAAACGTTGTTTGATTTCTAGAGAACATTTCAGAAACACCTTGGTCTAGTGGGGTCCTGACCCCAGCTCATTGGTACAGACAGTGCTTACATAATGTCCACCGCTGAGTAAGATTTTTAGATTTTACACATAAACAAAACCCTATTGACAATATCATAAATGTGTTCAGTGTTTTTTTTTCTAAAGTTTGCTGCTGATGATTTTGACAGTTTTTACTTTGAGATTCCCATTCTGTTGCCTGTTAATTAGTGTGTTGTATTGTTTTGCAGATGTATATTCCACCTTAGAGCCAAATGACAGAGTTGGAGACAGAAAGGAGCCTGTTGTGGAAAGAGATGCTCTTCAGGTAATTTAAACTCTTACTGACAGAATTTCTTTTGTGTATAAAACAGTGTGAAAACAGTAGTTATTCCGGCTATGCTGGCATATATTTTTTGAAGCAGTAGGACTTTATGTTCAGAGATTTCTTTCTTTTTGACTCTTTGTGTTTCTTATGCTAATTGACCAACTCCAGCCGTGTTTCCTGACACAGGCGATAAGTGAAAGAAAACACTTCATCAGAGCTGGCAGGCCTGCAGTGGGCCTCATGGATAACAAGCCTCCACCACTGGACTCTTGGGTGTAAACTTGACAACATGTCCAGTAAAGCCAGTCAGATAGTGTGAAAGACACTTTCTGCAGGTAGAAGCTGTGCCATCTTGATTTTTCTTGTACAGACAAAAAACAAAAACAAAAAACAAAACAAAACAAAAAAAAGTTCATTTAAAAAAATCTTCTTTGTTTACAAAACTTATAATGTGCCAAACATTTACATGTAAGTATTCTGAAAATTATTTGTTAACAGACTTCATAGATTTATCATTTAGGATGATACTCTGCAGGTCCAAAACTGATTGTGTGTTATATAAGATATAGCCCAAATATGCAAACTGTGGTGACTCCAAAGAATATAATGACATGTACAACTAGACTTTTGCAGCCCATTTACAGTCTACTCCTATTTTGTCAATAGTAAAGCCCAAACGATATGTGGATCTTTTATTTGGACGTTGGTTTTTAATGGTTTTAGGCTCATTTGATCCAAAACAATTCTTGAAACAGTTTTGGTTCCTGTCGAATACATATAGAACTAGGGCTATTATCAAAAAAATTAGTTTTACCTTGATTCAGTAAATCAGAGTAGACAATGAGGCCATTGAGTCGATTGCATTTGTCAGATGAGAGGCAAAAATGAGATTGTACATGTGTAACAAAGGACTGTTAATACTCAGAATAAAGGCATTTATATTGTAATGTTTATTGTAATACCCATGTTATTAATTAAGAGTTATTTATGTGTCTTAGCTAATGCTGACCAAGTGATTCAGATCTGCTTAGCAGTGGTTCCTTTTTGCATTGCGATGTTGAATGAAAACAAAAATAAACGCTGTGCATAGTTTCACATTTTAACTCGTGTCGCCTCTTATCTTACAAAATAATATTGTTTCAGTTGATCCATATCCACCTGTTCTGCATGTGCTTTAACTAAATAACTAAAGCAAAGTCTAATCAGTGCTTCTTCTATAATTGTGACTATTTATCCAGGAATTGGCTAATTGTTAAAGTAAAAACATTATCACACATATCATCACCTTCCTTAAATAACTGCCGAACTCGTGTTTTTCAAGATTTTCAAGAAACACAAAAAAACATCATATGTTAAAGTTTTTTGTGTTTTCTGAAAACTTATTTTAGAATGGTGATAATATGCAAACAATTAAATGATTTACTGTTAAATTAAAAATTTTTAATCTAATTTGAAATGTAGGACGCTCAATTGACAGTAGCCTCTTGTGAAAACGAACAATTTTAAAAATGTGAATTGTTATTAAAATTTCTATTCTTAAGCAAAAACATACATATTTAAATTTAATTTGGGTGTAATCTTGTATCCACAGTTTGTCTATTTATAGATTATTTTCTAATTTCAGTCTGCAGCAGGGCAAAGTAACTCAAGTTAACTAAATGTTCCGTTCATTGAAATAGATGCAAGGCTGGTTATTAGGAAGAGAAGAAATCATCAAAATTAGGTGATTTCTAAAGGGTGGATCTAGACAGTTTGAAGCCTCTGGTATGGTGAGAGAGAGGAGGGCAAAGCAAGGCCTTAGTGACATCTCCAAACATGTCAGCACAACACATTGGACAGCACCGCCCTGCCCTCAGAACCAAATTTCAAGATCAACCAGGGCAAAGCTGTTTCACACTTTGGACCCAGCAGCAACCTGTTGTCCTTTAATGAAGGACAATCTACAGATATTTTCCCATCTTTCTTAGTTTTCGGATTGAAATCTTTCTTTTGCTCAACGATGACCACTCCTCTGGTTTTCCACAACTCTGGGTTAGTCTTGAACCTTGTGCTTCTGATGTTGACCAGTCCGAGCTTGAGCAGTCCTGTTAAGCCTGTCGATACTCATTACGGGACGTCGACAAACGTGGATGCAGGCGGCAACCATCTAGTCAACGCTCAGGATTTTTTGAGCCAATTTCTGTCCACGCTCAACCTCACCAGACAGAGGTCCCAGAACCGGCCACGGGTTGCCCAGAAGGAACCACTGCCGGAGTACATGCTGGAGCTCTACAACCGGTTTGCCAACGACCGCACTGCGGCACCATCTGCCAGCATTGTTCGCAGCTTCAAAAACGAAGGTAGAAACTAATTTTTTTAGTTTTATACAAATCGTTCTTCTCATTGAGGTTAAACCCTTTCTAATATTTTGATTCCAGATTCCTCCCACTATTGCATGAGAGCCAAAGGCGTCTGGATCCACCCGCTGCTGTTTAACATCTCTGTGCCCCATCGTGAGCACATAACAATCGCTGAGCTTCGACTGTTCCTTCTTGTGCGGAAGGCTCAAAGAGCGTTCGCTGGGATTAACTGCAAGGTGACAATCTATGAGTTACACGATGGCATTGTTTGGACAAAAGAGGTGGGGAAAGAAGGGAGAGGGAGGGATGAAGAGGAGGTGGTGGAGATGAAGGATTTGGAAGAACTGGTGACAAAGCATATCGCCGTCAAAGATTATAGCTGGGTGTCGTTTGACCTCACTCATGTGGTTACACTCTGGCAGAAGTCAGGGTGCGCAACTCACAGACTGGAGGTTCGTATTGAAAGCCTGGGGTCAGGGGAAGAAGGGGTCACAGAGGAGAGTGAAGGTTCACTTGAGATTGAGATTGACAGGAACTTGGAGGGGAAGCACAACTCAGTGATGGTTGTGTTCTCGGACGACCAGAGCAGAGATCACAAACAAGACAGACAAGAGCTCAGTCAGATGATTAAGCATGAGAATGACCTTCCTGACAGCATGGGCGGCAGCCAGCAACCCCTCTGGGGGCATGCAAACCGCAACACCGTCTACGCTGACCAGGATAAGCTGGATGAACAGTCCGCCCTGCAGCTGCAGTCCAGCGTCATCTACGACACGCCTCCTCGAATTCGTCGCAATGTTAAGAGTGAGTCGTGCAGGAGGACGCCGCTCACTGTGAATTTTAAAGACATTGGCTGGGACACATGGGTTATCCAGCCGTTGGGCTACGAAGCGTACAAGTGCAACGGTGTGTGCAGCCCTCCCATGACGCATGAGGTCTCTCCTACCAAGCATGCCATAGTGCAGTCGCGATTGAGCCTCAAGAGCCCCGAAAAAGTATCACCTGCCTGTTGTGTCCCCACAAAACTAGAGCCGATCTCACTACTTTATCACGATAACGGAGTGGTCACTTTCAACCAGAGGTATGAGGGAATGGTAGTGACAGAATGTGGCTGTAGATAGGATCACAAAGACAAAAACTTCTCATTCCACGTTTCTATAAAATCTCGTATGGACTAGCTGTAAATTAGGATGAACACATGGTGTAAATTAACAATTGTATAAAAGCAAATCATTAAGTGTTGTAAGTGTGGTCAAACCTTCAAAACACTGTTATTCACAGTATTATAACAAGTTTGTATTTTAGAGTGCTTTATAAGCATTTCCACCTATTTATGTGCAATAACAAGCTAAACGAAGCTATGTGAGTATAAAGTGTCATTTCACAGAAGGAACATAAAAAAGGAATGCATATTGTCTGCTGCTTTTTATGCCATATATTTAAACTGAAATCATAAACGAGATAGTGTCAAACTTTGTAAATGACAATTTGCACAATCTAATGTGTTATAGAGATGTAAAAACACTGAGAGAATGTGTTGAGGATGACTCTACTACTGCACCACCTTTTTGGCTCAATGTTTTTAAAGGGGACATGTCATACCAAATCCACTTTTTTTGCCCATAAATTTTGTTGTGTACTTGGAGTCTCTAGGAGTGCAGAAAAGTTGAATTTAGTTTGTCCTGGTGCTGCAAAGATACCTTTGTACTCTGAGTCATATTTCTCAACCCATTCAGTTTTCTTAATTTCTATGAAGTTTTCTAAACTATTATGTCACCAAATTTGCAACAGAATCACTAAATATGTTCTGGACTTACCAACTACAAATTGGTGGTCTCTAGCTCTGGGTCAGACTCTGGCTCCAAGGCTGGATGGGCAAGTCGTCCCGTCTTTTAATTCATTTGTAAATAGGTTTCTGCACTGCTGTATAACTAGAAACCCCGCTATCAAACTAGAATGGACCGCTCTGAAAGCTAGATGGTGGCGGGGTGTGAAGTTCTTTGTTTAAATTTAAAGAGACAGCCTCAAAATGAGTTGATCTGTGACACAACTCAGAAAATCTTTGACAGAGGGGCTTGTGGAGTTACAAAAAGAAGGAATTCAGATCAAAGCATTGCAGTTCCACTTTATATGGACTCCAACTGAATGGTTTAAAAATGAAAAAGAAGGATTTAAAAGAATGATATGTTTTCTTTAAAGGTTACGCCCATTTTTGAACCGTCTAAATTTGATTAGTAGTGGTGCTGAACTTAAACTTGTGTGACTCTGAATGTTAATCAGTTGTAGACGTACATACTGATTATTTTCTGAGAGTTCCAATAGAAAGCAGTCCAGTGGTTCATGAACTACTTTGGTAACAGACAGATAGGGTTGATGCTAAATGCTATTGCTAAAGTTTTAAGCAGAATTTTATAGTGCATCACCAAAGTATATCATCAAATTTAACCGTAATATCTGTGTGCCATGGTCAGTTTGTTGTGGTGGCCATTTTGAATTGAGATGAAACACGTAAAAAAAAGAAAGAAAGAGACTAAACGAATCAATTGTAGATGCACACCAATATAATTACCTTTGGATGGTTTCATTAAAATATGTCTTATGGCTCATAAGATATTTTGCTAACAAGGAGACAAAAATGACTTCAATAGTTAATTGAAAAGTTTTAAAGTGATGTACTTGGGTATTACAAAAACACCAAATTTTAGCTCAATCTATAATTGACTAAAGCGCAACATTGTTTGCTACGGTCGTTTAGCTGTGGTGGCCAACTTAAACAGGGTTAACTCTAAAGTTATTCAGTTGGAGAAGCAATAATTTAAAAAAGCTTTATTTTTCCTAAATTAAGTACTCATTTAAGAACAAATTTGTCAAAAGCTTTGGAGGATGTGCTTGTTGCATGTTTGTAACTTGAGTGAGTGTATGTGTGTATGTTTTAAGACATCTCAGAGTCACTGACATGATTTAAAGATGGCAATATTTTGCCTCCGAGATGCTTGCCATATTTGCAGCAAATGTTTTTTCAGTGGCTTTACCCCAAGAGAGGAAATACAGAAGTTTGAAGGCCCACAGGGCTTCTCTTTCAGATTCAGCTTCTTTTTCCCCCCAACTTTGTTATCAGCTGCTGTGAAATCTTTCTTTACGCCAGCAATTTGCAATCTGCTTCTGTTTCGCACACTAATGGAAATGGGTATAAAAATAAAACGTCTGAAAACGAATGTATTCAGTCAGCAGTCTTTTCCGTGCCATTTCATTGTCAGGTTATCACATCACTCTCCGTCTAACAAGCTTAATCCCCATCCCTCCACCATCACATGCCTGGCGGGCCTCACTCCGCTCGCTTGATAAAAAGGTGTCAGAGCCTGGAGTCTTGTAGGCCATCACTCAGGGTTAGACACCACTCCAAGTGGCAGCATTTGTGAGAAGGTGGTGTCAGATTCCTGGTCTCCAGTGCCAACATATTCTATTGTCGATTCTGCCATCAGGTTGTTCTGTGCACTCTGAACCCTTTCACTTCCTGCTGCTGGCACTGTCATGCTTGTGTTGTTATCGAGGCAACGGTACATATGGAAAAAAAACAAACAAAAAACAAAAACCACGTCACATCATCACCTAGCTTTTGCTGTTAACAGTCCGAAGTAGGAAGCAATTGAAACAGGATGGCACTGTGTGCAGATTTACACGAGCCCAGTGTGCGGGGCGGGCAGTCTGTGAAAGTGTGGATCTACAAGTATCTGCAGTCATTAAAGAGAAATGCATAAAACAACGCCATTCAACTGGCGGTCAAAATCCGGCCAGCCAATTGGTTAATTAATTTTTAAGCTAAAACTCACAGTTTTCTAATTTATTACTATTAATTCTTTTAGGTATAAACATGTGGTATCTACAGGAACATATGAATCTTGGCTGCAAGCTGGTAAAAATCATATCTGAACACCCAAGACAGTTAAAACTATAAGCCACTGAAGATAAAACTAAGATAAGTAAAAATAAAATTGGTTTAAAAATGTGTCAAGTAGGGCTGTGTATTGGCAAGAATTTGGCGACACGATACATGTCATAACAGAGGTGTCACGATACAATATATCCTGATATATTGCGATACTGTAAGCAAGGCAATATATTGTGATATATTGCGTTTTTTTGTCCAAAAATTCTATTAAATAAAAACCTCTTACTGAAAAAAAAAGAAAAGCTAATGTTTACTTACAATGCTAATGCTACTCTTACTCTCTGGCTCTCAAGAGGTAGAGGAGCCAAATGGCTGGCTCACGGCTGCCAACTAGTGGTCAGAGGCTGAACTACAACATAAAAATGAATGGCTGGCAAGAAGGTTGACATTTTAAACCTTAATTAAAAYTCGATACAGGGCTTTAGAATATCGATACAGTATCGGGAAATGAAATATCGTGATATTTCAGTGTATCGATATTTTCTTACACCCCTAGTGTCAAGTCAAATATGTGAAAAATAATATTTGTGTTAAATGGGAGACATAATGTGTTATTTTTCTTGTATTGTTTTAATATCACTACTTTTATGACATTGAGCTATGTTGTATTCATGATTAAATGCAGCAAACTAAACTAATTCAAAGATGACAGGTCTTTGTAATGCTTAGTTTATTTACATGAAGACTTTAATTGCTGGATGTACGGCCCCTGAGCTGTTAGCCTGCAGTAACTGTGGCCCCCAGAGCAATGAAGTTGAACAGGCATTAAAGAAGCTTTCGAAATTTTAGGACTGAGAAAATGCAATAGATTCATGTTTCTTATTTTTGTAAATTATGGGAAAAAATAGAAACCATGATGGTTTTATGCTGGTGTAGGTTCTCAGTCATCCAGAATATTGGTTAAAAAAAACTTACCGGTAATTTATTCTTACCCTGCCCCTTGCACTGTGACTGCTGGATATGGGCACCAGATACCACCATGACCCTGAAAGGAAGAAGCGGGTATAGATAATGGATGGATGGACAGAATAAATCATTCTGCTCTTATTACCTTTTTGTTTCTAGATTTCAGTTCTATTTACCACCATCATTTTGTGGACACGTCAATACACTGCTGGTCTGAAACTGTCAATGTGTATCTGGATTAATACTTATTGACATTCTGTGTGAAGATCCATGGTGTCTCGTTTTCCACCACTGCTCAACACCGGCTTCCTACAGTTTCCTATTCTGAAGTTCAAGAAGTCGTGGAGCTGGTAAAAACAGCCAAATACCTGGGCCTGAATGTGTCCGCTGACCTCACATGGGCCACAAACCTAATATCTTTAAAAAGACTCGCTTGCCAACAATTGTAATTTATGAGCGTGCCTGCCTCAGAGCTGTTGTGGTAGATTCTTTTACTGATGTGCGATGGAGAGTGTCCCAACATTTTCCATTAGTCTGCTTGTGGAAGCTGCTCTGAAGCTGACAAGACGGTGCCTCAGAGAATGGTTAAATCTGTTTTAAAAAAATAACCAACGGCAGCCTCCGTTCGTAAAAGATATTAGCACCAACGGATACAGAACCAGAGCAAATAATATAATAACGGACTCCCATCTATCTAGCCCATGAACTATTCACCCTCCTTCCCTCAGGCAGAAGGCTAAGCAGCCTCAAAGCCCAGACAACAAGGCTGGAGATCAGCTTCTTCCCTGGAGCTGGGAGGCCTCAGGCAAGAAGTGCCTTAAAGGAACTCAATGCAAAGCTATGAAGTTCGGACAAAAAACTCATAAAGTAAGAATGTTCTTCTCGTATCAATGGGTAACATGTTCTTACATTTAAAAAATATAAGCAAAAATCGTGACTGGATGTATGCTTGTTTAACTAGAGAGTAATAAAATTCAAACTTGCTGGCCATATTTGTTTCTCTACATTGAGTCTATTCAGCTAAATTGCTCAGCGGTCTTACATCTGGCAGTTATTGTCATTACATAAATTAAATTTATGATTTTAAATCTACTTTTATTTTGAATTACCTTATTGGTAGGCTGACTAAGTTCATCCATCTGTAGGACCCCTGACCATCAGCCGAGTAGCCCTGCTCTACACAGAGGCCAGTCTAATGAAGGTCAGTTATGTGACTCTCGTTTCCACGTGTTTTTTGAGCAATTCAGACCATAAAGCTTTGTTTACGTTGAGTGTGGACCCGCATTTCAGAACTGCATTCATTATATCTGGAAAACTATCAAAGTAAACTCTTTCAAACTGCACCATTTGATATAAAACAGAGAAACTTTCCATGTTTGGTGTGCAATAAGCTGAATTTTACCTTTAATGAAAAAATTAATTTAAGCCTAATTAGCTGGCTTGAGAAACAAATAGTTCTTTAGTGCCTTTGCTATGTTGTTGAATGATGTATATACAGAAACGAAAGAAAGAAAGAAAGAAAGAAAGAAAGAAAGAAAGAAAGAAAGAAAGAAAGAAAGAAAGAAAGAAAGAAAAATCTGAATCTAAACCAAACACATTGTTTATATAAACTGCCACTGATTTGTCGACCTGCAGAACTTCAGTTGAACTTAATTGTTTTCTTGATGACATATCTTAAGAAGTTTTTAGCGTTGTGGTGTAAATGAACCTGACGTGACTGGGTTTTTAAACCTTTAACAGTGGAACAGAACTGCACCGCAGCGCCACGCCTGTCTCAAAGCTCGGCGGGTGGAGGGAGGGAGGAGGAGAATTTTTTTGTTTATTTTCGTGGCCAGCTAGCCAGACAGAGCATTGTTACCTAACATTGCACCAATTCTTTTCCGTAATCAACGCGTTAAGATTCGAGCCGATGGAAGAGTGTGAGCTGCAGTAATATGTTTTAATATTTCGCGAGGAAGGGGGATTTTGAGTCAGAAAAAATAGATCCCGTGTGGGAGAAGTTAACGAAGATCTGCTAGCCTCCGTGTGCTAACAAGCTAAACACACGAGCTAGTTGACGCCATCAACATTTAGATAAAAACTGCGGAACTTATCTCATCCCGCAACATTGAGACGACCTACTACTGCACGGTGAGTTACTGCAAGTTTACAAGTCAGTTTACGGTTGGTAAATAGTTAGCTTTGTAGCCTAGCTATTAGCTAAGTGTTAACATCCATTTAGCTAGGTGACGCTAGCTAACCCTGTTGTGCAGCGTTTTTAAGCGTGGGCACATTTTTTTTTTAAAGAATAAGTTAGAGGAAACTGGAAAACAGTGTGAACTAAACCCTTCTGCGGCTGTATTATATTTTACTTTAAAATCAGAAAATAAAATGCAGCCTTGCTAACCTTAGCAAAGTTTACCTTAATAATAAAGATAAAGAAAAAACTTTATTGATCCCACAAGTGGGGAAATTTGCACATTACAGCAGCTCAAAACAGGACAGGGTGAGATAGAATAAAGAAAGATAAGTGAAAGGAAAAAACCACTTTGTTTTTTAAACAATAATGTTTCAAATATTGTGTTTTTGTTTTCATTTTACTAAAATGCAGGGCTCCAAATGTCTTTATTTTTTTTTAAACCTACTTATTTGTCCATCAAGTAAAACTATTCAGCTAAATATCTGAATGGTTATGCAATTCTGTAATCTATTCCCAAATATAACAAAATGCAAAAAAAAAAAAAAAATTATGTAAATTGTTGTCCTCAAAGCTTTGAGGTTCAGCTGTGTTTGAAACTAAACCCTTGAAGTTGTAAGCAAAAAGTAAGAGTTCGTGCTGTATCTTTTCTTAGAAAAAGCATTTAAAATGTAATCAAGTTGACAAAAGGTTTGCCTACCAATGCGTCTCAACCACACTGTTCATTTTATTACCTTTTTCAATCTAGTACAACTTTGAAATATGATTTGTTTCTCCAGACGCTCTACATTTTCAATTTTAATTGTCATTGATTTGGCACAATGTTTTTATTTTTATAATTTACTTAGATGCTGCATAAGATTGCTCTTGATTTCACAGGTGTCCCTACCAAATAAAAAGAGTAGCAGAACAAATACATACATGGTCTCTTTTCACTAACAGTCTTGATGTAAACTTGGATTCTTTATAATATTATTTCCATAAACTTAATTATGCATGCTGACATGGAAATATCCTCTTTTTATTTAATATATTTTAGGCTGCTGAGCGTGGGCTGCTTCGGGTAAACAATAAACTCAGCTTGACACTCCTGCTGAAAGTGTAGAGGATACCGCTGGAAATCCTACCAAATATTAAAATTTACAAAGCAAGATGTCAATCACAAACACTCCCACGAGCAACGATGCTTGCCTGAGCATCGTGCATAGCCTCATGTGCCACCGACAGGGAGGGGAGAGTGAAAGCTTCGCCAAGCGAGCCATCGAGAGTCTCGTCAAGAAGCTGAAGGAGAAGAAAGATGAGCTGGATTCCCTCATCACAGCCATCACCACAAACGGAGCTCATCCCAGCAAGTGTGTAACCATTCAGCGAACTTTGGATGGACGCCTGCAGGTACCACGTTCATTTCCCTCCCCTGTAAACGCCAGAAATAACTGCGAGGAGAAGTTTGCATTTCATAAGGCTTCTTTTTTTTTGTATTTTCAGGTAGCAGGGCGTAAAGGTTTCCCCCATGTTGTTTATGCCAGACTGTGGCGGTGGCCGGATCTACACAAGAACGAGCTGAAACATGTGAAATACTGCCAGTATGCCTTCGACCTGAAATGTGACAGTGTTTGTGTCAACCCGTACCACTATGAGAGGGTTGTTTCTCCGGGAATTGGTAAGAATATATAATAAGTTAGCTAAATAAGATCGAAATCTTAACAGTTATGCTCAGTAATTATGAAAAAGAAAATATTTAAACACTGATAGATTTTAGTTTCTTGTTTTAAACAAGATCTTTTTAAACTCATGTTTGAATGCAGGAAGGAGAAAAAAAACATTCTTGATTAAATGAAGCTGATTTGTGTTTGTTTTATTTTATTTTATTTTTCTTTTTGCCAATGTGTTTGCAGACTTATCAACACTGACCCTTTCAAATTCAGGTATAAAACTTTCCCTTACTCTGCAAAGATTCTGTGGACGTTCATCAGTCTAAATCCCATCTGTCGTTCCTCGCTAGGTCCGCTTATTGTCAAAGACGAGTTTGACTTCGACAACCAGCAGTCTCACTCCAGCTCGGAAAACCACCTGCAGACCATCCAGCATCCTCCGTCGCGGCCGGTTCCACAGGAGCAGTTCGCTAGCCCCCCTCTACTACCCCCGTCGGAGGGCAGCAGCTCAGCCTCATCTTCTGCGTTCTCTGCCATCAGTGCTGGACCGTCAAGTGAGACAACATCAATATCAAATTATGTGTTACAAACTTGTTGGGAAATTCAAATGTACTTATTTTACCAAAGAGTGCATGGGTCGTTTGGGTCTCAAATGTTTGCAACGATTTGAATGTGTGCTCGCAGATCCAACCCCAAACTGGAGCAGAACCAGCAGCTTCCCCCCAGCGGTGCCTCAACACCAGAACGGGCATCTACAGCATCATCCTCCAATGCCTCACACGGGGCATTACTGTGAGTGGATGGAAACGATGAACAACACTCGGCAAACCCTACATTTAAATCTCAGCATCATTGTTTTGTCACACTTTACAAACACATTTATAACCTAACATGTTTTAAATAACAAAAACAATGCTTTAAAACAGCAAGAATCTGGAAAATTATTTATAAAAATCGAAACAAGGTAGACGTAAAATATAAGAGTCAACATTAGAGAAGCATGCTAAAACAGTGCACAAAAGTTTATGAATTTAAAACGCGCCTAAAGTTTTAAACCTTCACAAGTACTTTTGTGAACATCTGTTTAATTCATCTGGCTGCTTAGTTCCTCAAGCTAATGGGGGGAAAAACTTAAGTAAACAAAGTGAGTTTCTCTGGCTACAGAGTGATCTTTCTGGCTTTTACACATTTGTACTTAAGGAAGATTTTTTTAGCTAAGGATTCTGCAACAGAAAAGCTCACTTCAGGCTCAAGTAATCTTTACCCCTAAAATAAAAGTTTAGCAAATTTTAGATCCTGTTTAAGCTGCCTAATCTGTATTAATCCTCATAATTATCATCATCATCAAATTGTATTTATAAAGTGCTTTAACACCAGCCACAGCTGAAACAAAGTGCTGAACATCTAGTCAGGTAAACTGACATACAACGATAAATTAAAAACCCAATTCAAAACACAAGAAAATGACAGTTAAACAGATAAAATCAGCACCAGTACAATAAAAATTGAGTCAAATCAAATCTCAATTGGGTTGAAGGCCAATGAGTAAAAATGAGTTTACAGGCAGGTTTTAAAAATGGATAGTGAAGGCGCCTGTCTGAATGTGCAAAGGCAGAACGTTGCGCAATTTAGGGGCACTGACAGAGGAAGCCCCCTCTCTTTTAAGCTTCTGTTTAGAACTGGTATTGACCAGGAGCAGCTGGTCAGCAGACCTGAGTGGCCGAGCGGGAGTGTAGCGGCGGAGCAAGGCTTAAATACAAACAGAAGAATTTTAAAATGAACTCTAAAATACACGGGCAGCCAGTGCAGAGAAGCCAGGACGAGTAATGTATTCTGTATAAAAGACGAGCAACAGCATTTTGCACCTATGTCTACCAAAAGAATCAGATGAGAATTTAAAATAATACAAACCCACAGAAGTTCTGGTTTTATTTAATTCTTTTACTGAACTGTTCTTTTCAGGGCCTGTTACCAATGAAATTGCATTCCAGCCCCCCATATCCAATCACCCTGGTGAGTACTAAGCTTGACGCTTGTCTCCACTCATCACAAGGTCGGCACACTGACTAACATTTGGTTGCGTTTTCCAGCTCCAGAATACTGGTGCTCCATTGCTTACTTTGAGATGGACGTTCAGGTGGGGGAGACATTTAAGGTGCCCTCCACCTGTCCCATAGTCACTGTGGACGGTTATGTGGATCCTTCAGGAGGAGATCGTTTCTGCTTGGGCCAGCTGAGTAATGTCCACAGGACGGAGAACATCGAAAGAGCCAGGTATTCTGTTACGTACTTAAATATGTGTCGTTAATATTCGGTATGAATTCAAATGTAAATGCTGTAAAGATGTTTTCAGATGTTTGACAGTACCTCACTTTGTTTTTGGATTATTTCCTATTCTGCATATTTTTAGGCTCCACATTGGCAAAGGTGTGCAGCTGGAATGCAAAGGTGAAGGAGACGTGTGGGTGCGCTGCCTGAGTGACCACGCAGTGTTCGTGCAGAGCTATTATCTGGACCGAGAGGCCGGGCGTGCCCCGGGCGATGCAGTCCATAAGATCTACCCCAGTGCTTACATCAAGGTAAGATCATGCTCTTAGCTTATAAAGCTGGTTTTACCAGATTTCTATGTAGTTCTGTTATTTTTGTTTTAAAATAAACATCTTTTTAAGAGGTTACTGTGAGGCTGGAGTTGTTTGGTAAGACTGTACTTGTACATTGTAGAAGTTCTGCTCAGAGTTGGACCATCTGTAGTCACATCAGGTTTTTTTTTCTTTCTTTGTTCTTTAGAAATCACTGCGCACAAACATGTTTCATTTCTGAACCGGTCGTGTTTCTGCTCACGACACACGCTCGTGCGTCGCAGTCGGACCGAGTTTTATCAGTTATTCTGTTCCCCGACAGGTGTTTGACCTGCGCCAGTGCCACAGGCAGATGCAGCAGCAGGCGGCGACGGCTCAGGCAGCAGCTGCGGCTCAGGCAGCCGCGGTGGCTGGGAACATTCCAGGGCCTGGCTCCGTGGGAGGCATCGCCCCCGCCATCAGTGAGTGCTCTTACCGCTGCACTTGGCCTTGAGCAAGTGTATTACTATGATTGCTTCTCATTATCAAACTCTACGGGGTGGGTTTGGTACAGAATAATATCAGCGGTTCTTTTATTGTTTTTTTTTTCATAGCACTATTGGAAAGCATTGTGACAAAGTGAATTATAGAGCAGCATGAGCATTTATGAAAAAAGAACCTGGCAGCTTCAGATGTGTCAGAAAAGCTAAGCAAACTGCATTTCCTCAAGCTGAAGCAGTAACTTTTGTGATTTCATCTATCTAGTGCACCAGGTCCTGTAACTAATTTTATTGTAATTATTTTTCAGTTTTGTTTTTGTTATTGGAAAGCAGTGTTTCCCCTAGAGTATTGGCTGTGTGAGGGTGGGTGGGGTGGGGGGCTTTGGAACACAGAATGATTGACAACAGAAGCACTACTAGTATTATTAAGGAGTGCAGCTTTTAATTTTTTTTACAAAAATTACAGAACGTAAAAGTTTGCAATTTAATTTGCACTTGTTGCATCTCTTATTTAAAAATGCCTTCAGTTTTTCATCCTGCTTACATTTTTCAGCTGCACAAAGTAATTACTAGATAATTCAAACGGTTATTTAATTAGACGTCTCTGCTTCTGCTTGGTTCGTGGCGTCTCACTGATTAAAAAAAACACCGGCCTCGAATTCTCCCGCAGGTTTGTCTGCAGCCGCAGGCATCGGGGTGGACGACCTGCGCAGGCTGTGCATCCTGCGCATGAGCTTCGTAAAGGGCTGGGGGCCGGACTACCCGCGGCAGAGCATCAAGGAGACGCCCTGCTGGATCGAGATCCATTTACACCGAGCCCTGCAACTACTAGATGAAGTCCTGCACACCATGCCCATAGCTGACCCTCAGCCTCTTGACTGAAAATGAACTGTACCAAAAAAACAAAAACAAAAAAAAAACAAGGTAACTACTCTTTGACACACCACTTCACCTGTAGGCCTGGAACGCCAGAGGACTGTAATTACATGGATGCTGTATAGGTTGTAGTTGTAAAGAGGACCTGACGGCCGGCATTGTACTCCAGTTTTTTTTAACCACTTGTGAGCTGGAATGCTAAAGTCCTTATGTAAAAAAAAAAAAAGATGAACAATCATGTCGCACGAGGAGTAGCTGCAATACTCTAGAAACATTTGACCAACATGATAGAGATGAAACAGGAAGTTGGTGTTAACAATATGCGCTTATATTCAACCTTCAGTTTGGAAAGAAGTAAAAGTTCAATTTGACCTGGGCCTGTATTTATCAAACTTTGAGTGGAATTTTACACCCAAGTTTTAAAAATTTCTTAATTTGCTCCTACTCTCCAAGTGTAAATGCCAGTTATCAAAATTCTTAAGTCAAAGAATCACTCTTACTCTCCCAGATATTCAAGACAGCTCCAGAGGACTCTTTAGTGGTAAGAGTTGCCAGTAGGTGTCTTAAGACGGACTGAGAAGACAGAGACAGCTGCCCTCCTGAGTGTTATTCTCAGTTATAAGGTGTAGGTTTAGTCACGCAATACACAAGAAAGAAGGGTAAAATAAAACAATTACCAGTGTGAATAATGTTGGACTAAAAGGCAGATATTTCTGTGAGGCTTTTAGAGAAAATATTAAACTATCAGCCGGTGAGTGCATTCAACCCCCTCGTTATATCTCTGTATTCATGATGCAAACGAGGACATTTTCTGTAATTTACAGACGATCAGTACAGCGTGACAGTGTGTTGAAAGTAGTTATGTTAGGATTTTCACATTTTCATCTTGACATTTCTCTGAGAATGTTCTTGAACATGAAATCCGAGGCAGTTGATTGGTCCGTGCTGGAGGTTTGTAACGACGTCATCCAGGATGTGTTGTAAATCAGCTCTAAGACTTTAAAGTGAGACTGAGACGCTTGTTAACTGACTTTTAGGCACAGCTTTTAGCTAATAATTTTTTTACACTCTTAACAGCATTCTTAAGAGTAATTCTAAGAAGTTTGATAAATATGGGCCCTGATAGTTTAAGAAAAAAACAACTTTTTGTCAGTATGATCATTCTTATATTCACAATCGAATGTGTTAAAAGTGCCCCATGTCCCAAAGTTGCTTTTTAAAACTGCGACAGTGTATTTTCTTAAGTGTCTTTTATTGTGTCAACATCCTAAATGTATTTTAGCTGGAGTACGCTGCCGGTGCGGTTCACCTTTTAGTGGCTTCCTTTGGCCCAGAAGACTTCCTGTAATAGAAGTTATTTCCCCCTCACAGATCAGGACATTTATGAAGATGTGTATGTAACCCATGATCTTGTCAGATGTAATTTTAAAACAGTTTTAATGCTAACAGTTTATTTTTTTTTTTACATTCTTTTACATTGTTTAACAAACAATTTTGGTAAAAGCTGTTACTGCATGAAGTGTTTCAATTTAATTGAGTTTTTTTTTCCCAATTATTGAACACAAATATTTTCAGTTTTGGTTAGCTGTCCGTTAGCACTTTATTTTTTTGTTTCATAATTTTAATTGTGGTTACTTGGTTGTATCCATATAATCTTTTTAGTCTAGTTGAGAATTTGATTTGATCATTTTCTTGCTAATGAACTTAATATTCATTAAAATGTGGCTCATTGTGCCCAAACATCAATTTAAAATAACTAATCACTGCCTGTTTTCATTTCTGGGGAAAATAAAATAAAATAAATTGGCTGACAAATTAAATTAGGAGCGAACTGTGAGGAAGTGTAAGCCATATTGATGCCAAAAATACTTTATGAAAATTTTAAAGATGTCTGGACTGCAGTTTTCTTTTCAGTATTACGTTACTTTTATTAGTTACTGGATTTGTTTTTCTCAGCACTATTGATTAAAAAGTATTTTAACATTCAGCATTAATTTAATCAAGTTTTTATATACTTTGTTACCTTTTATTGTGGTTAGTTTATTAGAAAACAAAAAAAATGTACAATTTTCAGCAAATAAAAGATCGTGTTCACCGTTATCGTCACAATAATGTATCACGAGTTAAATGGAATGGGAATGATATTGGTGTTTATATGTATGAATAAAATTGAGACGTCACTTGTTTAGTGTGGAAGTCAAAACTTACGACACCGACTTTGAACAAGAAAACGTTTATTACTGCAAAGACGAGTCACAAATTTTAAGAAAACACTAGGAAGCTAGCCTGAGCTCAGATCTGAAATATTCAGAAAACAAAACTACATGTGTCTTTAATAGTTCCCCTAATCAATACGACACACTAAATGATAATGTCTTTGTAAATATAAAAGTCCCCGCCCACCCCGATCGTCCTTTTTTCTGTAAAACGCACAATACAAATCACCCTACACACGGTTTTCCTTGCCAATTTTGAAAATATACACCGTAAACTTAAACAGCACACAAAAAGAAAGTCACATGAAGTTTGTGTGTATATATTATATCAGATACTATACATTATCCAAAAAAAGGAGGAAAATAAAAGGAATTCACAAAAGCACTTAAGCCAACAAATCAGATAAAATGTTCACTAAAAGAAATCATAATTAAGACACAAATAAATATACCTTTTCAGTTTCTGATATACACATTTTTTTTGTCAAAGATGAAACAAAAGAAAAAAAAAGCCTTCTTCAAAATGCCACCACCTGATGCTTGGCACCAGCATCAAGCAGCGTGCTACAGATGGCCCAAGACTCACTAAACTGTCAAATGGCACTTAACAAATCCCAAACAGGTCCCAGCATTTAGAAAATATCTGTTGACAAAATAAATCACAATCATGAGGGAAAACAGAGCATTTTACTGACGGTGGCTCTTCTGGTGCGTTTCTCTACACGTGTTCGCCGTTTGCAGGTCTCACACACGTGTTTACCGGTAATGGATTGTAAACTGTGGGCGTTCTCGTTGAAAGTAATCAATGGTTTTAATTTGAATACTTCCTCTTATAGTACTCATTGGCAGCACCTGTGCAACTAAACATCTGCTTTATAGACCATCTGAAGCCCACCAGAGACCCAGGCCGTCTGCTGCAGTCGGGGTGAAATCAAAGGCACCAGAGTTTGCTGCGGTTCAGTGAAGCTGCAACGTCGTCCACGTAAAGAGGCGATTCTAGCTTATATCCCTTACGGTTTTTTTCAGTTGGAAACAATTCTCTCGCAAACGGCAGTTATGAAATGATGTCAATTCTTAATCCCCCCCACCC